TATTGTCCATTAAAAACCAAATGTATCACTGACGCAACCTAAAATGCGGACCGTTTTTTCTTCCGACAATCGGATAGCAAATACTAGGGCTCGGAGTCAAACTCGAATAATTCGAATATTCGAAAAGCGAATAATTATGTGTAATCATAACTCGAATAGTCGAATATCCGAATATCCGAATATTCGAATATTCGAATACTCGAATAATACACCAACATTATCAAACTCACAAGGTGCAAATATCTTTATATGCACTTTGTATACTTTCATAAAATAAATTATTCATATTCTACAAGCATTTAAACAAATAGCCATAAATTTACAAGCAAATGAAAATAATCATATTTACTCTCCTGCAAATGAATGTAAAATTACGTCTCTGTGTTCTGGTGATACGCGTCATCAACTTTTGGGCGGTGTTACAATTAATGTGCCGACAAAGGCACTTCAATTGTAACACGTATCCATTACTTATCCGTTGCAGCTAGTTGCCAAAAATGATATGAGATAACGATTTTTCTTCTTGGGAAACGGTGAACGGAAAACAAACACTCGAATATCTAACGAATACGAATAGAAATACTCGAGTATTGGAATATTCGTTAGATATTCGAGTATTCGAATAACTTTACTATTCGAATAAACCACTAAACGAATATTCGAATATCAGATTTTTAAAAATTCCGAGCCCTAGCAAATACCCATCGAATAGCCAGCAAAATCGGAACACGATCGGATACAAAAACGGGGACGGATCGGGCAGGTAGCAGAAAGATGTGAACTTCGGCGTTGAAAGTCTAGTACCATTTTGCTCTCAGATCTTCGTCCCATTGTATGATCGGAGTCGGATCGGATAGATGTGACCCTGCCTTAATAGTCCGACACACAAACATTTTGTTCACATGTAAATGTCGTAGTTCATTAAGGCCCATTTTCATCAGAAACAAGCTAAACGCAGTTTGACGAAACTAAGTTTATGTTTATGTCGAAATTAAACTCGTTTAACAACGGACCGTTTTACCATCGCTTCGGTACGTTTCATAAACTGCGTTTATTGAAACGCAGTTTAAGAAACTGGAAACACTGGCATCGTTGCAAAAGTCAGAAATATTACGATGCTCATCGCAAAATCATCTTATCAAG